TCTCCATCAAGATTCAATTTTTTCGAGCTCGGAAGGTGATATTCGTGATCAGCATGACCTGGTGAATCAGAATATGTATAATAAAGCCAAAAATAAATTTCACAGTCAGTTTGCTTTCCGTGCACCTTAGAAAACCGTCAGTTTTCCGAGTATTTTACATTTTCCTCAGCCGAGAAACACTTTTATTGAAAATTAATGTAATATTTGGAATCAGCATGAGAAACTGCACCGAATGATGTATAATTTGTTAATTTTACAAATAAAATATTTTTTGATAAAAGTTCAGGGGATGGGTCCTTGTGAAGAAATCTTTTATCGAAAAAATTTTTTTTCGAATTCGAGTTTTTTTACTTTTATTAATATCTGACGCATAATAAGACCATATTATGCGAAAATAATCATTTTTTAACTCAGAAAAAACGGATGTCCAACTGCTCTATTGAAAAATGCCCTCTGTGTTATGTTGTACGGAAAGTTTGACAGTTTGCGATATTTAGGCTACTTTATAGCATATTGATAACATATATAAAAAAAATATTTTACAAATCTTATGAAAGGATTTCTAGAAGAACGCTCTCTCGTAACAGGTGACTCAAATTTACAGTCGATGACCTTTGATTTTAAGACGAATAGTAGAATGATGATAATTGCACATGTATACACCGTTTATTTTCACAGATATTGATGAATGTAGTTCCGATCTACATAATTGTACAACTGGTCAACGATGTGAGAATTTGCCTGGATCTTACCGGTATTACCAGAACCGAGTCAAGGTCGATTAATTTTAAACATGTATTGTTTGTATTTAGTTGTATTCGTGAGAGAAATTGCGGAACGGGATATCAGGTTGACGCAGTGACCCAAACCTGTACTGGTGAGTTGTTAAAGAAGAGGGCATATTTGGTATGCGCAACATCATCCATGGTTTGCCTTGTCTTTAGATATTGATGAATGTGAAAAGGACATGCACGATTGTGGGTAAGAGATGAGAAACTATGACTTTGGAAATTCATGTAATATCTATTTTATTCTACTATTTTTGACCGGGGTATCAATGTAAAAATATTCCGGGATGGTTCAGGTAAGAATATGTGTGTGTGATAGAACAATATACGATCAATAGACAATGCAATATATTTTTCAGATGTGTACCACAAAAATGTCCTCCTGGTGAACACCTCAACGTTTTTCTTGGTCGATGTTCAAGAATTCAGTGCCATCCTGGTTATAATGCAACAGCCGTTGGCAAATGTGTAGGTAGATAATCAATTCGGTATTCTACTTTTTGTTATCCTATGATTTTCAACTTTCGAGCAGTTAGCATTTTAAACTATTTGAAAACGATAAGAAACAGTGAAACTGACGATGATATATCATTCGAATATTGTTATTATTAAAGATATAAATGAATGTAAACAAGTTCCAAGTCCATGTAAAATTGGCGAACGATGCGATAACACGATTGGCTCCTATCGATGTGTTAACATATTTTCATGTGCTCACGGTTTAGAAGCAAAAGAACTTCAGTGCATAGGTATGATTTAATTCATAATCAATATCTTTAATAAGTTGATTACGATTCCATGATTATTTTAGATATCGATGAATGTTCCATAGGAAATCACACATGTCTTCTACCAGCAATTTGCAAGAATACTTATGGTTCGTATTTGGTAAGGAATATTGATTAAATTATTTTCATCTGACTGTAGTTATATTCTTGCCAAAAATTAATTTTTCTAATTTCAGTGCCAATGCCCGGCTGGTTATGTATTTAAACATGGTGCTTGTGTGGGTAAGTGAATGATAATATCAACGATCTCACAAAATAGTGATAATTGTTCTTATTTGATATAGACGACGATGAATGCAGTCGAGGAAGTTCAATGTGCCCAAGCAATTCTTATTGTCAAAATACACCTGGGTCATTTACTGTTCGTATACTATTGTACGTATATTTATCGAACTAAAAATTTCATGTTCTTTTCAGTGTGATTGTGTGACGGGCTACAAAATGCTTGAAGGAAGAAACGTCTGTGAAGGTATATTTGAATGCTTGTTATTAGAAAATATGCTACATTTTTTTGTTGATGTATCTAGATGTTGATGAATGTAAAGCGAATCCAAACATATGTGAACAACAATGTATTAATTTTCAAGGATCGTATTATGTGAGATATAAGGAGAAAACAGAATTTACAACTAACAACTTAAACATATTTTAGTGTCTTTGCAAAGAAGGTTATCGTCTTAATCCTGACAAACGAACTTGTAGAGGTATAGCTAACAAATATCTGCTGTATCAGTAAAAAAGATTAGATAATTCTGTACTATATATAGATTTGGATGAATGTGCACTAGTGGCAAATCTTTGTCAATACCGTTGTGACAATACACCTGGTTCATATCAATGTCAGTGCCCTCAAGGATACAATATGGAACGTGCAAGATATTGTCGAGGTAAGTTAATCTATGTATTTTCAATTATCACAGAGATAACTTGCTTATACTTGTAGATATTGACGAATGTCGAATGAATACTCATAATTGTAGAACAGAAGATGTATGTATTAATTTACGCGGTGGATTTCGATGTTATTATGTCGATTGTCCAGAAGGCTATGAAAAACAATCATCAAAGTGGGTCACATCTTTTAGCCTGTGTAAACAACATTGATAATAGTTTCTTTTCAGTCGATGTCAATTGAGCTCTCGTTCATGCTATGATAGTCAAAATAATAGCTCACGTTGTTCAGTCAATAATCCAGTTAAATACATATATTCATTTGTATCACTGCCAGCTAAAATGCCGATACCCGTTGAAGTATTTCGTGTACGAAATGGTATTTTGAATGCTTATCAACGTGTAGAATTTGATTTACGTTTAATAAATGCTAAAGATCCATTCACAAATGTAACAAAGACGTCACTTGATCATTTTTATTTGAAACGTATAGCACCTCATGATGCTACATTATCAATTGTTAAAGAGATTAGTCCATCACAAGATATTGAATTAGATATAAGAATGTCGATGTTTTCAACTGGACGGCTACAGGCCATATCGGTCATGAAATTATTCATCTTTGTTAGTCAGTATGAATTCTAATAAAATCTATTTTCAATAGAAAATATTTTGTTTTATTTTTATATTGTTTGTTTTAAACGACAAAAAAAGAAGTTGAGGTAATAAATAAATCTTGAAACAAATCGAAGATTGGTTAATAGTTGAAGTGTACACCGACGATTGTCCGTGTTACCACTTTGCAATGAGATTTAGATTCTTCTCGGCAGGAGTGTGTAAAATGTATTGACTAAACAATAAAAATGTACACTGTTACAAAAGCCAATTTGTTTTAGAAGTATCAAGACTAAGAATACTTCAGATACTATTTATCAATAAGACGATTGTGTTGTAAACTTCCATAAAATTGGAGACTTATGTGCGGATAAACCTCCGCATAATCTCGAATTTACAACTATACGGTGATCCAAAAAGAGATACGCAGGTTTTGCTCGAAATTTTAACTGTATTAAGAGAAAATTACTTGTTGGAGTGTTGATCATTAACAGACAGACATTTATTCGTTTGGGAATGAGCTAGTACGATTTTATCACTAGACTAAGAAAAGGAGAATAAATTGGTTTTATTCCATTACAATGGATGAAGATTATTATCAAATGTCTTCAAAATAATGTTTTTTATACCTTTACTTCATTACCATCAAACTCCATCCGTAAATGAGAACTTGGATACATAACGGTCCAAATACTATTTCTGTTCTTATCACTTGTGAATATAACATCACATGTTCGTGCAGCTCGTCCATTGGATTTGACACAACTGAGAAATAACTAAATGATTTTAAAAGTGATTACAATTCAGAGGTGAAATACTAATTCTCAGTTGTCAATCGTAGACAAGATCGCACACAAGATTTTGATAAACACCATTATTAAAGGAAAATTGTGCATGATGTCACGGTGATGATGCATGCATAATATCTTGAACTTCTGTCTCATAAACTTATGACATCTATTTAATAAAAGAATATATTTTCACTATAACGATCATCAACGTATGAAAGTTGATCAGAAACTGTGTGCTCTAAAACTTTTACTGTAATATTTTAAATTTTAATGACATTCGATATATGCAGATAAAGCTAAAATCTGATTAAGGGCAACTGAAGACCAAACATTTTGTGAATTTACTACTACTAATACTTTTGTTAAATACTAATACTGTTGTTAAATACTACGATCAGAATAAAAAAGAGAGAAAAATGCACCATCAATTTGTTTCTCGGTGTTTTTTGGCCTAGAAGTGGTTGAGATTGCATATTTACCGTATTTCCTTCATATTCTCCTATTTTTTAAGGTATATAGAAAAATGTTCAATATATTTTTGGTAGAGAATTAAATGACCCGCCTTCTAAAAAAGAAATTAGAATTTTACAGTATTTCTGGACTGAGATATATGCAAAATAAAGAATGTTGCAATCATTTTGGCGCACCCCGTATATACGGCAGAAATATAGTATTTTGCGCAATGCTGGGCACTTACCAATCAGATTCGCACGCTAATACCGATTACATAATCAAAACTATCAAACCAGTTTTTGAATCAGTTTTTGTAAGTATTTTGGTATGTGCTTCATAAACATCTAACTGTAGTTTCGATATTATCTTCTTTAATTTTAATTGAATTTCATGTCTCATTTTTTTTATTCAACTCATAAGAGTGCAGCCCATAATATATATAGAACTTTTTCTATCAATTGCTCATAATTAATGAGCATATTTAATCAAAGTATTTAAGATCATAGAGCCTGCTGATCTTGAGCTAGTGAGATGCAAGTTTCACATATGTTGTAGGTAATGACATGATGAATACCTTTTACCTGAAGAGTATGTCAGAAATCTACTTCTGAAAGCAACAGAGGTGTATTTCAGGAGGCTCCATGTATTTGAATGGACCGGTCATAATTACCCCAAGCAAAATAGCTGGCAGACCCAGAGATGGGCAAGTCACGACTTTTCCAGTCTCAGTCAAGAAACCATCGGTCTCAGTTAAGTCTCAGTCTCGAAAAAAACCATCAGTCGTAACTCAGTCTCAGTCATGACTTAGACTTGCCCATTTTTCTTTCTTTTTTATTCTGATCGTAGTATTTAGCAACAGTATTAGTATTTAACAAAAGTATTAAAATTTAATAAAAGTATTAATATTTAACAAAAAAAAAACGGCACAGAAATATTTCTAATATCTTAAACGAGAATTAAGAATTTTATGAACAAACTGAAGTAAGAGCTGAGTTTAGTATTCCCCGCCATTGACTCTGTTCATTAACCATTCAAAGAAATTCAATCTGGTCATTCCTGATTTTGGTGAACTTGGATCTAGAGTGTTCGGTGTTGCTAAATTAATTCGTTGTCCATTTTCTTACCTCAGTCTATTCTATTGACGTTGATTTAGAACCTTTCTTTATTGATTGTAGTAATCATAAAAATTCAACGGAAACATTGCTAGCGGACTTGTGCAAAGTCTGTCTTTCACCGTCTTCATTCTCCACCGTCTTCATGTTGAAAGAGTGTTTTTTTGATTGATTATTGTGGTCTTGATGATCTGAAATTTAACAGAATGAAACGAAACATATTATGTTTTTGTATATGTGGAATGTGGAGGGTTGGTACTAAGTTATTCTCTTACTTCAGTTTGTTCATAAAATTCCAATTTCATGTCGAGAGCTACTAAAACTCTCTAATAAAATTCTTAATTTTATAAGAGCTGAATTTAGTATGTTCAAAGCTTAAACCTGCTGCGCTGTAAAACTGCTTCTTGGAAGCACTGCTCATCCTGGCTAAGTTCTCTATTATAGAATTTTCTAAATGTGTTTGCATTGGTCCATTTAGCTGTTTTAAGGGTTTGATGTATTGCAAGTCCTTGAAACTTGGCCTTTTGATACCATCTTGAATTTTATTTCGTCAGACAAATGAGTGTAACGTGGCCTTGGAGGTCTCATGTTGAAGATTTCCTTCAACATGAGGCCATGAGAGGCACAGAAATATTTCTAATATCTTAATCGAGAAATTTAAAGTTCCATTTTAACAGTGTAAGAGTAGAAAGAGTATTTTTTGCCATTTTGGACCTATGTGGACGCATTAAGAAACCGCTCTGCGAGAAAACACGCTCTACAGGTCCACTTGTAGCTGATACACAAACCATTTTTATCGCCAAGGCATTCAGCAGTGGATAATACGATGATTTTTATCTATTTTTACTATACATCATATACGTATTCCCTTATTCACTACGTATAGTTTATTTACTTTTTGCCACTATATCTTCTTTTTGACTTTTCTTTTCATTTCATCTTCGTTTGTCTTCCTGCTTACTTTTTCTGTTTTTCTCTCACTTTCTATTTAAAAAAATCATTCGTATTTTCGAACAATCAGTCACGGTACAGAAAATCGTCAGTCTCAATCGAGTCTCAATCTCAAAAAAAAACCATCAGTCGTGACTCAGTCTCAGTCATGACTTAGACCTGCCCATCTCTGAACAGGCCCGAATTACCCCAATCGAAAAAACTGAAAAAATCGGAAATCTAACCATGGCTTATTGTATTTGAATTAACTTCGTTAGATTAGGTGCTAATAATGTCAAATTTGTATGAAAGCAGAAGAGAAGAAGTGCTATTCTAGCTGGTGTAATTTCTACCTGATTTGGGCTTAGCGTTAATTAGTAGAAGTTTGTTTCGGGAAACTCCATGTATTTGAATGAACTGGCCAGAATTCATCCACGCAAAATAACTTATCGACCGGAATTCCCGCATATGGGGGAATTCGGGCCAGTTTGAGGTTCCCGCCTCCCTCTGAATACCACTCGAAAACGGAGCAGAATTTTTAGGAGAGTTTTACGTCAGCGGATAGAGAACTATTAGTTCTATCTTCATATTCAATAGCACGCTTATCCGATTAAAAACGGCTTAGAAATATGCAAAATACCAAAAACCTTGTGCAAGTGGCCGGAATTATCCCGTATGACTCTATGAAGTTTATTTTGACCCAAAACTTTAGTGTATATCAGAAATCGTCAAATACCATGGTAAAATATACTAATTTTGCTCATGTAAGGTAGATACCGATGCGGTTATCTTAGCCATTTTCCACTATCTCAAGATTTTCGTCTCATCGTTAATCTTAAGTCTGTAGTATCTGTAATCAGAATTCTCTAATACATTCTCTAACTTTGACTATGATCGAAGTTATGCAAACTATTTTTATTTTTGAATGGTAAGAGACAAAAGACAGTCATAACTAAACTGTCATTTAAAGCTGCTATTCCCGTACCTATCGTATAAAAAGAAAAAGATATGGAAAGCTCACGGTTGCATCACTTTGTATAGACACTAATTATCATTCATCATTAAATTTTTAAATTTAAGCCGTGTGTCGTTATCCGATTAAAAATCGTTTAGAAATATGCAAAATACTAAGAACCTTTTCTGCAAGTGGCCGAAATTATCCCATACGACTCAAATTAGCGTCAAATATTGGATATATGAACTTGTGACGTTCAATTATGCTTCATAAAAATTAGTCATGTCAAAAATTGAAAAGCTAGAGAGGTAAAGGTATATTTTTTTACGAAAATAAAATTACTCAACAGTAGCTTGAAAACAATATTTTCATAATAATAGAATTTACTGGTCTATAAAGGTTAGTTCGCTTTGAGTCCTTCACGATGTTAAGAGAAGCTGAAAGATCACAAGTTTTACTACTAGCTGTATTACAACACAAGTGCACAGCTCGTAGAACAAAACAGACATCTGAACGTGTTAAACTATAATTCTATTTCTATGATATAAGTAATTTTGGGTAACTATTTTTCTTCTAAAAAGCTGATACTATTGATTTTAAATAAGCGTTTGCGTTATAGAACTTATCTATGAGCGATAATAATAACATGTATTTCCCATACGCGCGACGGTGAACAGTTTCGGTCAAGCAACAAGATTTTTCGATTTCTTATCGTTCAAACTACATCTTTTGCTTTCGTCAACTTGAAAAAAACTCAATTATTTATACAACATTTATTTCGTTCAAGTATCTGAAACTCACTAAAGTTAAACAGAATGGAAATTACTCTGCTGGATTAACGTTCGTTCACATTGAAATTTTAGAACTTGTTAGTGAAAAGTTCAGTTCTCAGTTTTTCGAAAAATATAGAAAAACTGAGAACTAAATCATCTAGCATAAAACTTTTAGCATTTGTTCAAATTTCAGTAAGTTTTGAGAATGAACCTAGAAGCATTCCTCATACGACTGACATACATACACTATATCAGTCTAATAGCTCAAAATAGTTGGAGATTTCTTTTATGAAATGTATAAATTGATTTGTTCTGTTTCTCTATATGACATTTTGTGATTCGGAAATAAGAATAAGAATAATAATCCTTGAGATTTCTTTTCATCAATCCATTCTTTTATTCGAGAACGGTCAACCTTTACAGAATAACAACTATGATATAAATAATTTGTTTATATTGAAATCATCTAATGTTACACTAAAACTAAAATAGAAAATAGAATTTTAATTATTTAAAGAATACTAAAATGTTCAATGGATGCTTTATGTCGGTGAACAAAAATGTGCTTTTCCTATACGGATTTTTGGAAATTATCAAAAGTACTTATACTAATTTCATCAAAGAACTTCAGACGTACTCTAACATTATAGATGAAACCAAACGGGATAAACGTTTTTTGTGTGATGTCATATATGTCGTGCATTCAAGTTTATCATATGGTGTGAACGGTTTCACAAATAGAGAAGAAATGATTGGAATGCGAAAAATTTAAACCCATATTATCGTTATAAACGCTTACACATAATAACTATAGAATAGATGAGAATACAAAGTTTAAGCTTACAGTGTGTAGAGAATGCTCATTTTATATAACATCTTTGCCTTTAATGGTAGTTCATATTCTCTTTAAAGATTCGCCTATCTTCTCGTTTATGGCAGTTTACAAACGAATGGGAACAGAAATCAGCGAGTACAAGCTTGCCCATGACGAATATTACTCGTCTATGTAAGATTAGGAAAGATATTTAATGTCTATTCTGAATATGCTGTAAGGCCCGATACAGCAATGAACACTTTGAAAATGTGAGGAATTTTATCTTTAGATCTGAAGGATTAAATCAAGCACACAAGATTTTTCTTTCGAAATATTCAGTTCCTCTATTGTTTATTTTCCGTCAGAATTAATGAAACCAAAAATAAACATAATTACTATTGAGTTTTTCTCCTCCTATTTGTTCCGCGTGAATTATTTGTTTCGTGTGTTGCGTGTAGTCTGTCGGTTAATTATAAGCTCGTTCATCATTTATAAAAGCAATTTTATTGAATAAAGTTGCTTTTGATTAATTAATTAATCTTTAGTACAAATATTTCTCTCTTTTTTTTCAATTTTCAATTACAACAGTTTCATTTCAGTACTATTCTAAAATTCCATTTTTTTTTGTAAATCACAACATTTACAGTATCGATTAGAGTATATTTGTTTCTTTTTCACAAGAAAGAGTAGGGGGTAGATAATATTTGTTATCTGTATCCATTTGCGCACATCACTGTTTCATTCACAACATATTTCTTTGAAGAATATTTATTTCTTCTTTAACCTCCGGGCTATTTAGTCATTAACACTTGAAAATCGCGTATGAGATTGTGTGAAAGAGAGCATTTATTTATTGAATAATCGACATGGCTCGAGCACTTTACTTTATATCGAAAAGTAGAGGACAGAAGATTATCTACTCATCATAAAAAGAAAACTGTTGTTACTAAATGTCATTCGTAATAAAATTAAAAATCACATATATACAGAAGTTTTCTTTTTAAAATTCCAATCGATATTTTGTTTCCGACCAAAAGATTCTTTCCTAATCTTCACTTTATTAGTTCAAATTAAGAAACATTCTTTCCGCCTTTAGCAATTTATTACATAGAAGAAACTGTATAATCTGAAATTGAAGTGTTAGATACTACATATTTTTGCTTTTAACGGCTATATCGAGAACTTCATTGTTCTTCTTTATCCTAGTTCTTTTGTTTAGATTTATCGATTTTTTTTCCTCCACAGGGAAGAACGAGAACAAAAAAAAAATTCTTCGTCTTCTCTTTCAACTGTTAGACCATAAAAAGTTAGTTCTATATGTGTTTGTTTGGGGAAATATTGCATTAGTTAAAATTAATCATTATTTGATCTAAGAAGTGAGTAAATGTAATATCACTATTTTAATATATGAATATGAGTATATCACGTACAAAAGTTTAGTTTTTAATGGCATATTTATTTTCTCATTAATGTTATATGAAAAACATCACACTATCTTTCTCTTATATTGTTTTACCAATTTTTTTTTTTTTTTTGAATTAATAGTTTGTCATTGTGCATGATTTATGGAGAAAACTAAAGATTTTATATTGTATGACTTTACAGTACTTTTATTTAACATTTATTACAATAATCCGTACCAGTCACGGTAGATCACTCTATGTGTTTGATTATTGTAAGAAATTTAAGAAAAAGACCATTATTTAAATATAGATATACCATTTGTTATTTTTATATGAGTCATGAGATTAGATACACATGATGTCGTGTTATCTTAATCTTTCAGACATTAATAAATTAATATGAGAGTATAGATTTGAGTTCCATCTGAAAATTTGAATGTAAAGAAAAGAGGAATTAATTCTAGTTTTAGTAACACTTAACGTGGGTGAAGAGTCATATTATTCAATTATTTCCTGATGTTTGAAACGATAATATTTTGGATTCATCGTGCTCTCCATTCTCTTTCGGGGAGAATCAAAAACGAGTTAAGTATTATGTTCAGATTTTTCTTTTTCTAGATCTATTTGTGACCTGAAACAATGCAAACGTACTTGTTTAGTCTTCTTGTGTATGTTGTGATCGGTTGGATAAGTTTGGTAACTGTTTATGGTGCCGTAATTAATCATCAAACGTCACATGATCTTGTTCAAGTACGTTCATTTTACATTTTAACACATTCTAATCGAAAACATATTCAGGATTCTTGAGACCGGCGAGCAATTGTGAGGACAACCCCGACTCAATAATTCAGAAGTATTTTACTTTTTCTCAGCAAAAGAGAGAAAAAAAGAGTTTTACACTGTCTCTTCGATGATTTCAGGATCTGTTAATTTCCTTCTAAAAATCTAAAGATTATGATATTTCTGAACATATTAAGGAAAGATGAGACCCGTACCATTCTATATACGCGTTTATTAAGCAAATTTCTTCAAGAAGAAAACAGTAATATCATTTTTGGGACGAACGGGTCTAGGTTTATGGGTTTCGTGTTTAAATTTTTTAACATTGAGGAGTATTCAGCTAGAGCAAACTTTTGTCCTATTTTAGGAGCTACCATCAAAATCGCTTTTCAACGCACATTTTCAACGAGAATCGAATTTGCTCAATAATGAAAATGTTCATCCAAATGACAATAATGCGGCATCGTCGAACTTACGTTTAAAACGATCACCGGTGAAAAAGTTCTATGAATTTGGTTCTAAACGAGCTTATCATGATGACGATGAAAATGAAAATAGCCTTGACAAACGATTCTATGATTTTGGAATGAAAAAACGTTTTTATGATTTTGGTGTTAAACGTTCAATCTATGTACTCCCAAGTGATTATTCTTATGACAATAACAATGATTATTCAAAAAGATTTTATGAGTTTGGATCCAAACGAACAACTGAATAATAAACTCTTTTAGAAATGGTCGATTATTTTTCTATTATCAATTTAATCAATTACAATTGTTAAGAAAGAGTAACGGGTGTTCGATCGTTAAAGACAGTTATTAACAAGGATATGCTTTGTTTTGGAATATTTAAGAAAATGATTGAGTCTATGCTTTTTTTTATTAAATAACTACAATTACTGGTTCTTTAGAATGAATAAAATTGAATCATCATGAACAAGACAACTGCTAAAACCCTTTTTTATAATAAAGAAGCTAAATGTTGTTAATAGGCATTCATGACGTGTAGTATGGCACGTCTCATCTCGAATATGTAGACTCAACTTCGAATTACGGCTTGATTTTTTGGAGAAATCCTGTATCTGTAAAATATATCTAAAATAATAGAGACGTGTTCTATTTTCCACTTAGCTGCTATCCTAATGCAAACGTCAATTATTAAGCAATTGACGATAGAAGACTAATTGCATGTCAAAGTGATTTTACAAATCTGAATTGTTTCATGTTGATGAATAACAAGATTAACTCAAACAAAAGAAAAGGAAATGTACTTTTGGTCACTAAACATGTTTAGATAGAAATTATCACCAAAAAAAGATACTTTTGATTACAAAAATTTTCAACATTTTTCCTTCTTTTATTTTATTTCTCTTTTTAAATGGTCGCAAGTCTTTAGTTCCCGATACTCGCTAAACTATATCCAATGTTGTTGTCCGTTCGATCGAATTGATTTATTTTTATTCATTCCTGTGCGCCATATATAATAAATCTATAAAATTTAAATTGTTTTTTCAACATATCCTATCCCTCATATCGCTCTCCTTATGGCCCTAAAAATCCGGCCGAAAAAGGTTCAGTAGTAGTTGTAGTCTTCTTTGAAAAGAAGTGAAATAAAGAGCAGTATACAAAATATGCTTTGTATCTTATACACACGGCACAGAGTCAAGGACTTCGAAATAGAAGTCCTCAAAATCCCTATAAAAATCGTCGATAAAGAACATTAATTAATTAAATTCATCACACGTAGAACCTACGGAAACCTTCATATTGATCAAGAGGAATCACTAAAAAATTTCTAATTTAACTTATTAACGACACTTCTAATCCAGCTGGTACAAATGATGTTGATGTAAAAGCTCCTACATGATGATACTGATAAAGAAAAAAACAGAAATCCGTTTTGCTTAATGATTTTATTATACTAAAACATCTATCAGAATTGGTTTAACTATCATCAAGTGATCAAGTATTTTCGAGGACAAAAGTCATTAATACACGAACGGTACTTCGTAACCGAATCATTTTCACCATTTTAGAAAAAACGCTGTAGGAAGGTATCTTGAGTGCATCAAATAGCTAAATTCAACTATTGATCATGTTAAATACTAGAAATAAAATTTTGATTTCTGTTGAGGCACATACTATTACACGTTCACACATTTATTAAGATTCTAAACTGAAGGATTTCTTAAGGACCGCTCTCGACAAGTTAATCAACGGTCGATTTTGAAATCAACATTTGGATGGTATTAAACTTCGAAATGAAACCATTACTTAAATATGCGCAAAACAGCGGCCTCCACAATGTAGAATAGCAAATGCGTCAAGAGAAGCTCCGCCACAGCACCAACCATGCTGTCCGGAGCAAAATTTTTATCTTATTTTTATTTATGTCTCATTCGAAAGAACATACAAAATAACTACCAACCTTGCAATAACTCTCTCTGAAAGCGCTTTTTTAAAAAACTAGAGGTCAAACACTATTGGGTCACGCTTGTTACCAAAAGAACGTGAGTTTTCACAAATTTCCGTATTTCCGATTTTCTGAAAGACTATCAAACTCCTATGATTCTTCCATGGCTCATTTGAAAGAGAAATGTTTACTCTTATAAGATCATATATTTAGACATAATAATATATTTAACTATCTAGGACTAAATAATAGAAAACTAAAAAATTCCATATTTCTCAGTACTTTTTAAATATAGGCCATGCATATGGCCGTCCGAAACTGAATCTTACTTCATTTTTTAGAGTAGGCAATTCTACATCGATTTATATGTAATAGAAAATCTTAAAATACTACGATGTACGGTAAATCAAATATTGGAGGCAGATATAAGTTTCATTATTTTCTTACTTTTCTAAATTTTGATACAATCTCAAAGATTTAGAGTCCAGATCTTTGAGATTCAGGAAGATCTTTGAGATTCAGGACATACAAACTATTTCTGAGTCATCACAAATGTAGAGCAAACATTTTTCTACAAATTTTTCAAAAAAATCTCCCACTGGTTTTTACCTCAGCTTTGATCCACTGACCAAATGCAATAAAATTCACATATGGTTGAATAGAGCATTGAAAGTTGCATCTAGCAGCATACTTTTTTATCTTTTTCAGTTCATATTAATAGAGAAAAAAAGTTTTATTTTTTGTAAAAATGGCTGGAAAATGGGTATTATGTATCGAAAAAGACATTTTTCTTCTTACTTTTCACAATTAACCTTTTTAGTTTTACGTTTAAAAACTGCACATGACTCAATGCTAGTTACTCATGTCAAAACTTGATATAAATTCTTTTCTTCTAACCGTCTAAAAATAGATTTTTTTAAAAAGAAAATAGATTTTTTTAAAAAGTTAGACAAGCTCGTGAACGGCATCGCGAGTGGATTTATATATGATTTTTAGACGGTTAGGAGAAAAGAATTTATATCAAGTTTTGACTTGAATAATTAGCATTGAGTCATGTGCCGTTTTTAAGCCCAAAACTAAAAAGGTTGATTATGAAAAGTAAGGGGAAAAATGTCTTTTTCGATACATAATACCCATTTTCCAGCCATTTTTAGAAAAAAATAAAACTTTTTTTTCTCGATTTATATGGACTGATGAAGATAAAAAAGCATGCCACTAGATGTAACGTTCAATGCTCTGATACAGCGGAGAGATATCTTATTTTTCTTAGAATTCTTTGCTTTATCAGGCTATATGGCTTGGAAAATTTTCTGATCAAAACCCAAAGATTTGGTTTTCTAGCCTTCAGATTTTCCAGAAATCCTGTTATCAAGTTTCCTCATAAAATGGCGATATGCACCTCATCTAATGGAAAAATCTTCGGGCTATTCAAAACAGTATTCCGATTGCTTTCAGCTTTTGTTGAAAAATCAAAAACAAAGGAGTTCTTATGATTATGACACACTGTACTGCTTAGATAACACCCAGACACTTCTATTGCATATTTTTAATGGTTGGCCCCACCTGCCTAGGCATTCTGACCAACTCAGTTTGTAGAGAATTTCACGGGCTACTCACCCATATTTTTTTGAAAAATATATAGGTTTTCATTAAGACAGAAAAAACCTTCAAAGTGAATGTTTACGCCGACCGTTTACTTCGACTTTGGTCGCAAAACTTTCTGTAACAAATATGCATATCCCAAACTTTTGACGATGATTCCAGATAGTACACTGAGACTACTATCTACTGCAAGCAGCCCGACTTAAACGTAAGTTCATAATAACGAGATTGATCGCTCACAAAAGTGCTTCATGAAGCTCCGTTTCGGTCTTGCTGTAATGTATGGCATGAGAGGTATACGTAATTTTTGTGTGTCAGTATAGAGTACTACCTACTCTGGAAATACCATTGTTTCATATCTTCTCATTCACCAGAAAAACGAAACGTATGTTTTTCACGCGTATAACTTCTCGAACTTTACTCCAGTCGAAAAAATTTCCTATCTACAGAACGAAAAGTTCGGGATGCCTAAAAATTTAAATCTATAGGTTTTCGAACATGTTCTACAAGATGAGACTACTTAAAAAAAAATCTGAAATAGTCATTGATCGCACTTCTGTGAGAAACAGTCGTCTTTCTCGTGCAATGGCTCCTAGGTCGGTTCTCTGACGTAGGCCCTCTTATGTACGTCATTTCTCATTTTAGAAAAAATTTTAATTTTGAGGCGATCGTGGTGATGTGTCTTTATTTCAGCACTTGAAAGTT